AATTTAGGAAGTTCATGAATCTCTAATATGTCTGGATATAGTATTAGTGAAATGATAAATGATGCAAATTTTACAGCAAGAATGAATCTGCTGGCCATCTAAACTGTATGCAGGCCATTCCAGCCCACAGATTATGTGTGGGTTCTATAAGCTTCTTGTTACAGAGCATATAATGACATTTTAATGTGTGCTTATAGTGGCCTAGCCAGCATATGAAAGAGAGCAGGAAATAAAGTTCTTTTTGTCTTATATGGCACTCTGTGTCTCAGGAATTTTGCTGACAGAAGACTTTTAAAAAGTAGTATTTGCCAAGAGCTGTGTTAATGTCGACTTTGGAAATAATTGCGCAAGGATGATGATTTTTAGAAAAGCGGCCTTCCAAGAGAGTGTATTTGCTTCGGCTTTTAACAATTTCAGTTCTCTTTTAGTTACATTTTAAGGAAGTCAGTGGGGTTTGAAAAAATAAAACGCACACAATGGCCACTTCACAAACAGTTACTTTGACACATTCTCAGAATACCACAAGGTAGCTCAACCCAGTCAGTGACATTTAGCAGCAGAGGCAGTTATGAGAGATGGAGACAGCAGTGGAAGAATCAAGCCACTGGTCTCAAACCACAATCACTAATGCAAGGCAGAGTTCTTCCTTTTGAGGAGGTGACTCTTTTTGAACTTGTTCAACAGAACAAACAGATATTTCAAGCCATATCATGTCATTCATGCATACTATAAAACCACAGATTTCTGATGAACTGGAGTTGAGCAGCTTGTTGAACTTAGTTTCACATATATTACATGCTGTTATGTTTAAGATTTAAGTAGCAGTGTTGGAACTCTAACAAAGCTTAATAGAAATGTCTGAGGTCACATCATGGCTTCGTCTTTGTAGCACTGAACAACCTTTATTACTTATTATGCATTTCTTGTTTGGATGCAGCCTTATCCTTCATGTCCTCATTAGGGGTCAGCGATATATTAATTATACTGGATGTATTGCGGCTTGTTCCACATGCTATGTAAAAACTTATTACATCGCTAACATAGAGCTTAAAGTCTCATGTCAGTTCTTTTAAGCCACCAGTGCGTGACATTTTGATTCCCATCTCACAGACACAAAAAGGGGAAACAAAGACCCAAGCATGATTTGTCACACATACACTCCCCCACCCAATCATACCACTCTCGCCTGCATTTTAGTGTGTAAGCAGGCAAGGTGTGTTGCATGCAGTCTTTGTTTTTATCTTTTCTTTTTATGTATGATTATTGTTATTTAGTAGGGGAGGGTTTTCCATAAGCTATTTTTGGTGTTTCTTCTGTCTTTGCCATACACATGTATGTGCAAATAAATAAACTAAACTATATAGCAGTACTTTATTCAACTTTATTATATGATAGTAGCTACTTAATTTAACTTAATTGTAACTGTAGTTAATTAAGTATTTTAGTAGTTTACAGTAGTTTAGAGGAGATTTAAAAATATAGGATAGAGATAGGTATTGTGTATCGTGATATAGTCTATTATTTATAGGCCAAGTTCTCATGTACAGACATACTGTGAATTGATATTCTGTTCACATGTTACAAGGGACAGTTGCTATTTTTGATAACTGACTTACCATAAATTGTTTTAAGTGACCTCACTAGGTCCGTTTTTTAAAATTCAAATAATTTTAAAATGCACTGTAGCGTGTCACTTTCAGAGCCTGTGAGTAAAGGTCATGTTTTTATCTAATCCAAAGGGTATGTCCTCTGTACATCAGCCATTTAAGGACACCTCAGACTCTGCTTGTCAGGCTTTGCACTGCATTGTCAGAATGAGCTCAGCTTTGATCAGTCTAAGCTGCAGCTTCCCAGCCTTGAATGCTAACATTAGAATACTGACATGCTATATAGGCCCTGATATACACAACCATGGAATGAAAATCAGCATGTGTGAGACCAAACACTTACAACAGAAGGTCAGCTGCATACAGGAATAGGACAAGAAACCAGGGGAATATAATGTGACCTTGTCTCTCTGTACAAAAGAAGACTTTTCCAGTTGAAACTCTCATTTCAGTTTATCTGTGCATGATGAGTTCAGTGTTTTCAGTCAGAAGTATATTAGAGCAGTGGTTCCCAACCTTTTCTGTGTCAAGGACCCCTGAATTGATAAACATTAGGTTATGGGTCCCTGTTTGATAAGATCTTGCTTCAGGGACCTCTATCTGAAAAGATTGTGGTTGTTAGATATGATTAAGACCAGAATTCTATAGTTGTAAACTACAGTTGAGGAGATAACCATGGAGGAGTTGAAACCTATAGAAAAATAGTGGCTCTTATGACTGTTACTCTGGGCTCACTTCTAGAGTGAATTAAGTAGCAAAAATTATCTGTTCCCCAATTTCTGGAGTCCCCTGGAGCTCTCTCAAAGACCCCTGCGGGTCCCTGGACCCTTAGTTGAGAACTACTGTTTTAGAGTATTATAATGTGTGTATCTGATGAGCAAGAAGTGCAGATTGTTATGATTTGTGCTTCTACAAAACAAACTTCAGGAACACCAGTGGAGAAAGTTGGTGGTGAGCTTGTACTCCCCACAGCCAATTCAGTTGCATCTGAAAAGGCCTTTGTTGTCACATGGGTGGCCTATTGTGTATGTAAAAAGCAAAAATCCTTTTGTGTGGCTTTCGACAAACACTGAGGAGGATTCATAGACCACCCATGTAAACAGGCCTCAATGGGTAGCACTGCCGCCTCTTACACAACAGTTAACATTAGCTATTAACTTAAACAAGCTATTTCTGTCATTTCATTGATGTGGCTCTGTTGAGTGAAATGGTTGGAAAGATTTCTGCTGAGGTTGTGACAGTTGTTTGGTGTGAAGTAAAAACCTCACTATTATCCATAGTTCATTTTGGTGCCCTGTTTGAGCCTGAACTCATTTCAGATTTAATTTTGATCTCCAGTAATACCACATCCAATAAAAACACAATTAGAAACATGCAGTGGGATTATAAACTGGAGCTTGTGAGTGTTGCTTTTTATTTCACATCTTGAGGAATCAGTAGGGCCTGGAGAGGATCATTCATCTCTCTTCAAATATAAAATTCACTTAAATATTTATTTACGTTGCCTGCCAAGCCTCTTCTTTGGCATCTGATGGGTATGAATATTGGATAGCTGGGATCATTGTCAACAGTTAGTCTGTCACGTGATTTTCTAGAAGAGGACAAAATAAATAAATTCCATTGGCACCTCATCAAAATTTGATAACACCTGATTACATGTTCTGGGACTCTAAAAATCAGATGACGTTGTTTAGTGACTGTCAGGGTTTACTGCTCAGGATTTTTCAGATGCAATACAAGTTTGGCTTTATTGTAGAAGAATGTGTCTTGTTTCTGTTTAGTTGGCATATGAACACAGCAGTCAATTGAGCTCCTTATCCTCCTGTTTTCCGCCATCTACGTCCATTCTCACCTAACTCACAGTCATTTTCGGCTTAGTGGGATCTCTAGGGATGTCACAGTTTAGAAAAACCCAAAGGCTGAGATGATCCACATAGTAGATATTTTTCAATGAAGGAGCCATTAGGTTTTTGACCATTGTGGCATCATAGGTTATTAATAAGTTTGAGTGCAAGATGTGCAGGTAATAGAAGAATTCTACTGCTGGAAAGATGGTCTTCGCACAACAGGGCTGTCTATGCAGTAGAAAGATGCAAATACTTTTGAAATTGGTGCTACATGACCAGAAAAAAAAAACAGAGGAAAAGGGTTGTGGCCTTTTCTTTTGCTCAAGAGGTAAAAAACCTACAACTACTAGAATGCACTGGGCCACACTGGACCAATAAAAGTTCCCACTAGTGGGTGATGTAATGCGAGCTTGTGTATTATGACACAGGAAACAATATGGTGGCTGGCTGGTAACTAACAATCTCGAATTACTGTTAAACGTTAAAATAAAATATGTTTCTGAAAACATTTGAAGAAGAAATAGTCAAATCTTGGTTTATATTTGATCAGCACATCACAGTTTCACAGTTTGGTTTGCTGAGAGAGAGATCTCTCTTGATCCCCATCTATACCATCTTGTGGTGGTGGGCATAAGAAAATGCAAAAGGACAATCTGTAGTTTGAGCAACAGCCCTGTAGCCAGAGAAAATATAATGATTCGAACTGGGAGATGAGCAGGGAGATCTGGGCGCTGGTAAGCTGGAGGGAACTTTACTACTGGTCATTTACACATACTGCCTATGTTGTTATGATACAAAGCTGGTTGAAAATCAGCAAAGTATTCCTTTAAGAGAGGGCTGTGTGTGTGAAGATATATGGGCGCTCTGATGTGTTCTGGCACCATTGATCAGTCCCATGGCTTTGATGGAAAGAGCAACCAGGAAGTAGTGCATTTGCTTTCACTTCAGGCCAGATGGTTGTGGCGCACTGCCATGGCAGCCATGCTGAGGATGTATGCCCTGTCCGTAGACAAATCGGAGGCATGCCCACTGATGTTTTTTCAGGATAGCACGGAGACACAGTGACAACATTGTAGTCCAATTTTCCGAAATAAAGCCTCATTTCCCAGTGCTACAAGAAATTGTCACTTTTGTTATTACCACTTCTAAATGTCTGATTTAAGTGAAATTGAGCTTATCCATATTTTCTGATTTATTAAATTTGAGGTGTTGTGTTTTTACAAGTAACAAGCAACTGATAAGAGGTTAAGATGATGATACCTTTCACTTAAATAAAGTGTGTAACATATTCCTGTTCCATGGATTTTTAGAAATGTTTGCTCTGAAAGTCTGTTTACCTGAACTTTGACTCACCAGCATTCCATTGCCCCCTCAGTATTTTATTGATTGTGGTCATCAGCATGGTGTTATGAAAGAAACGGATAAAAGAAAACGAGGACGCTACACAGAGAAAAATATCTGCTTTCACTCAACAGCAAACTTGTGCTTCTGAGGTGCTGTACATTGATCCCTCCCTCCATTCCTTTTCTCTCTGTCTCTCCCTCAGACTTGATTCAGTGCACAAATGAGATGAATGTGAACATCCCTCAGCTGGCTGACACACTGTTTGAGAGGACCACCAACACCAGCTGGGTGGTTGTCTTCAAGTCCCTCACCGCCACACACCATCTGATGGTTTACGGCAATGAGGTCAGGACTTAAAGTAACAACTGTTTTATCCGCAGGATATGATGTGGCTTGTTATCATCTCTTATTCATGCACGTTCGGGGTGGGACAAAATATTGTCACTTTCAAACTCAATTCAATTTGCAAAAATTGGTATTTCTTAAAACATGCAGGCCGTCATAATGGAGTTTTCTACCAATTCGACTTCCTAGAGTCACTTCTGAATGACTCTTGCTGGGGTCATATATCAAATAAATTAGGGTAACGGTAACAGGTACCGTAGGTTAAGTAACTAACTCAAGCAGGGGAAAACAAATAAGGGGGGGACCAGTCAAAAGATTGGGCCCACTTTGGCTTTTAAAACACAGCTGGGACAAAAAACAGGATCAGCTACAGTACATTCTTTTCTTTACAGCGGTACACTCAGTTTTGCAAACTTGGCGACTTCCTTGCTAGATTTAGGGACCGATCAGACCCTCTAGTGACTTCATTGCTAAAAATAACCTGCTGCCACTGTGACTGCTGCAGGTGCAACCTGTTGAGCTCTCATAATGTTAAAAGGCAGAGCTCTCAGGATGGATGCTAAAATTTCATTTACAAAGGCATCACCCAAATGTGTTGATTAGCAGAATGAGACAAAAACAAAGTGGAAGGTGAATCCTTCTCTCCACAGCTTTCAGGCAGTCTCCCACTGCAGATTTGGACCATGCCAAAGTAATAACTGAAGCTGAGTTAATCGCAGCAGGTATCCAGCCACACTCACATACTGTGCATCGTAGAGAATGCAGAATTAAAGCATAATGGTCAAAGTGCTTGAGCCCTGCAACAATGTGCCCTCGTGTGTGCATTTTAGTCAGCCCGTTGTGCCTGCCCTGTGTAGCTGCAGTTCAGGAATTATCAAGAAATCAGAGTCTTATAATGGAGAATTACTGACATTATTGTTATTCATTTTTTCTTGACAGTAAGCCAGTATTTGAGTGCCTTAACTGTTACAGGAAGAATTATGGTCAATGAGGAGACCATAGATGAATTATATTTAAGGTTCAAGAAGATTCACTGTTAAAAAAAGTTCAGTGAATGCATGATGTTTCCAAAGTCAATGATTGTGATCTCAGTATTGACCATAATAATCGTGATTGTGTTTTGCGACCCTGTGTTAAAGAGGCACTAACCTAAGACTCTTTTTTTTGTGCATTGTTTCATCTCAGTTGTCAAATTCTGTGAAACTAACACTGCAATTCAGTGACTAAATACACAATACCTGATTTTTGCCTTTTTAGGGGTATTTATTTCTCAACATCATGATGTATCGTAGATGATAGCTTTGGAATGTAGCAGGTGTCCCCACAATAGCTATTTTGTGATACCATCGTTATTGTGGACAATGTATTGTGTTAATATTGTATTGTGAGTTACTCTGGGATTTCCACCCCTAGTGCACATGCTACATGCCCACAAACAAAGCTGTTCATTGCACAACAGTTAGCTGTTTCAAAACTCTCACGTGTGGTAAACGCCTGTTTTGCAAGCATCCAGAGTTCCTCATATGGTGTTTTTCTTGCAGAGATTTATACAGTACCTGGCGTCAAGGAACACACTATTCAACCTCAGCAATTTTCTGGACAAAAGTGGCTTACAAGGTATATTAATCAACACTGTGCACATTGTTCAGCAATAGGTCTTTGAATACTTAGCCAATATCCATCCGTATCATGACATTCATCATGACCCCCTCACTTCTGTTTGTAATCTAGGCTATGATATGTCAACGTTCATAAGGAGATACAGCCGCTACCTGAATGAGAAGGCCGTGTCCTACAGACAAGTTGCTTTCGACTTCACTAAAGTGAAAAGAGGGTAAGGAACTTTTACTTCACTTTTACTGACAGACTGGGGTGCTGGTGTTGACTTGTACCTGAGCCACAAAGCTCGATGTTGATGTTCTTGTGGTGAGAGAGGTGTATTCACTGAAATTGTACATATGTTGTGTTGAGTCAGTGACTGCGAGATCATAGGGATCAGCCATGTTGATTTACAGTGCAGAATTATCAAATAATGTCTAATGAACAGTTAACTCTAGAGAGCCCAATTCCATCAGTGCCAGCGTGCTCAAAGATCTCAAAGAGATCTGTATTAGATTAGAGCATTTTCTTATCTTCTCTTTTCTTTCCACAGGTCTGATGGAGTGATGAGAACCATGAACACAGAGAAACTCCTCAAGACCATCCCTATCATCCAGAATCAGATGGATGTGTTACTTGATTTCAATGTGAGTGCTCAGGAGTGGCTGCACTGGTTGGCACCTGACACATTTCTGTGGGTTTTCAAAATGGTCGTCTCAGACAAACCTCAAACTGATTTTGTTCAACACCTCCACCTCTCTTCCAGGTCAATGCCAATGAACTGACAAATGGTGTGATCAACGCAGCGTTCATGCTTCTGTTCAAAGATGCGATCCGACTGTTTGCAGCATACAATGAAGGAATAATCAACCTCCTGGGTAAAAACAAGCATTTGGGTTTGCAAATTCACTATTTGGACTGTAGGAATTTCATTACTGTCCTGTTCAATTGCCTGAAGGGTAAATACAGATTTAGACTAGACCTGAATATTCAACTATTTGAATATTTGTTTGTTGGTTAGGCGTGTTGTTGGATTTTTTTTGTTTCGTTTTTACTTTTAAAGTCAGTAAAATCTAATTTCATTGTAGAAGTGTGTGCAAGTGCTGCCCCCTAAAAGTTGAAGATTTGAATCCTCAGCTGGACACCCCTAAGTAAATTGAGAGTCCTTCAAGTTGAGCTTTTTTGTTTGTTTGTTTGTTTATTTATTTTTTCCTTTTGTCACTTAGTGTACAGTTTACCACTGGAGGTGTTTCAGTCCCCAGATTTAGTTGCAGAGTGAGCCCTCCTTACTTTCACACTGCTCTTTGGTACTGGCAGCTGTGGACACAGAGGGAGCTGCTCAGAGGAGGAGAGGCTTTTCCCTGTCACGCTCCCAGATAGCGTTATTATCTGCCTTCTGCTTAGAAGTGATGAATTTACAGTATACAACACCTTAAAACAATACTTTCTCTGGCTTTTGTTTGATATGTAGTGTCGGCAAAAAATGTTACAGCACATTTCAGATTTGTTGTTAGCATAGTTAGCTTGTTCAGTGCACTATGTAAATGTCACTGACATGGAACATCTTGCTGAACCCTGTTCACCCAACCCAAGTTCTCAAACTCTTGTATGGGGGAAAAAAGGAACAAATGGTCAAATATTCATATTGAACAGCCAAATCTAATTAGACTAACATAATTCTGAGTCAGACACAGCCTTCCTGCATGCAGCATATCCACTTGCTTAGCCCCTCCTTGCACCATGCTCTCCACTTTTGTTTCACAGCGTTTTGTCAGGCATTGTCTAAGATTTAGAGCCTATTATTACGACCATTAATGTGGCTCTATAATTTATTCACAATAAGAAACAAGCAAAAACAACAAGAGTCACAAGCTGTTATTATCACATGCACAAAAAAGTACATATAAGGGAGTGATCACACTGAGATGAAACACTAGAAACGCGACGCCAGTGAAACCATTGTTTTCCTATGATACGGTGCATCTGACTGGCGTTCAAGCGTCTTTTTAGACGGGCGTTTTTCCGGCATCTTTTTAGAAGCGCATTTTTGTAGACCCTTCTTTTTAGACGCGTGTAGACGCTGAAAAGTTAAAATATTTTCAACTGTTTTGAGCGTCAGACGACAGTAGATAGCGCGCATTGAATAAGCGCTTCCAGCGTTTCAAGCGTCTTTGAAGCGTCCGCGTCTCTAGCGTCTCATTTCTGTGTGATCACCCCCTAACCTGTACAAATCATAGAATATTTACTGTTGATTACAACAAGAGCTCCAGAGCCCAAAAAATGCCATTCTGTCCAGCCCTAATCAGATGAGGAGAGACAGTGGCCATGGGGCAAACGGCTTAATGAATTACTACAGACGTCCTTACAATGTTTGTCAGCAGTCTTGTAAAGATCATGTAAGTCTTAAAATTAACAGAAAAATGGAGGACTGAAAAACTGATGGCTTCCTGGAACTGCAGGCCTGTAATGAGCTTATTTCAAAGAAAGTTTAAGGGGCTGTCACAAACTGTTTCCCAGCAGACTTCATGAATTCTTTTCTGACCCATAAATGAATACATGGCAAAGTTCTTTTTCTCCTGCTTTAGTGAGATGAGCATGCACGGCTTAGCTTTTACCAAGGCAGTCCATCACAGTTTCACCTCCTTGTTGATTTAAAAAAAAAAAAAAAAAAAAAAAAAAAAAGGTGTCAGTAAGTAAGTTTGCACACTGTGAAACAGGAAAGACTGCTGCAACAGGGCAGATCACTGTACAGTTTGAATAGTAACTTTAATTGTATAGTAGTCCCCAGTGCTCATGATCATATGATGGAACTTCAGTATTTACTATGCAAATCTCCAAACACATTAGTGTGAATAATGATTTGTTTTCATAGTTTCCAGTCACCTTTCCTTTTCCCTTTGGATTTTGCAAGCATATATCAGTATCTGCTGAGACATAATAGTTTTATGTATATACCCTCAGGATCTACTATCCCCATAAGACTATACATTTAATTTGGGAAATATAAACTTCAAAATGCCAAAGTAATAGACAAAACACAATAAATGATGATTGTTTCCGTCAATCTTCTAATCAAGCTTATTTTCTTGTTCTGTTAACAGAGAAATACTTTGACATGAAGAAAGTCCAGTGCAAAGAAGGCCTTGACATCTACAAGAAATTCCTTACGCGAATGACAAGAATCTCAGAGTTCCTCAAAGTTGCAGAGGTAAGTCAGGAACCCAGACAAGCCTGTCGGGTGTTACAGAGGGGCTTGGGATCATTTGGATGGGTTGGCTATTTTTGCCAGTCCAATTCTGATGGTGTTTTTTCTCATCCTGCAGCAGGTCGGAATTGATCGAGGGGACATCCCAGATCTGTCTCAGGTAAGCTGAGATGCTCAGTCTAAAGATAACCACTTGGCATCTTTGTAGTTTCTCTGAATAACCTGCTGTGACTTTACGCTCCTCACCTATGTGCTGGCTTTGCTTAACTCAAACAGGGAGAATGGTCGATGGGGGAAGCAATATTATGTATTATGTATTATTCTATTGCTAGAATATACTTTGTAACAAAAAGATTTGTAGCGAATCTAATGAAATAATGGCTGACTTACATACTGTCACTGTGCAGGAGTACCTGCTTTAAAGGACTCTGAGTCTCATCTGAGTAAGCAGTAAATATATCTGCTGCCTGTACTCTATATGATGTGCTAGTATCAGCAAAATACTGAAGGTATTATTGATATGTTAAAGGGTCAGTTCACCAAATAAGCAGAACTCAGCATTATTATACAAACTTTTTGAGGAAACACTGTCATGCAGCCTTTGATTTCAGTGTTTTAGTATATTGACATACCATAATAAGTCTAGGTGTATTTGCAAGCTTTGGGTGCATATTCTGTGGGTCATCATGTGTGCTCAAGTGCTTTAGTGACCTCCATAATATGAACTTGCAAAATGTGGCTATTCGTGTCCTTTCACAGGCTGCTAACCCCTGCAGCTTCCAGTCTAACAAGTTTTAACACCAAGTGCTGTGCACGCTAGGCAGGCAATGCATGTGCCCACTATTGCACTTACAAACACCTTCCAACTCGCACTCACTCCTGACCTTGCACGTTGTACAGCAAATAAAGGTGTGAATCAAGGGTTTTAGTTTGGGATATGATAGGTCCAGCTTATGTAGACCAGTTGCCTGCTGAGCTGGTGCATTATGCACAACATACACTTATTTGAAGGGTCTGTTGTTCATTATGTATTAAGTAGAACTTTGTAACTGTAGCAAATAAGCCAGAATTGGAGAGCTTTCTCCCAAAGGTTTTCTTAATAATATCTTGACTGTTGCCACCTTTATTTTCTGTATTTTCCCTTCCTTCTATCTCTCCATTTTCAGTTTACAGTTTGTGTAAGTATCTGAACCTTTTCTCTCTCTCTGTCTCTGACTATTTGTGGACTCTGTTTGTCTCTGTTTGTGGACTCTTGGCAATAACTTGGCATGCTTCTGTGTTTTTTTCTTCTTCCTCTTCAAGAGGACATCTTGTATTAGGCTTTTCTCAGTCTTTGAAACTAAATGTGTGTCAATGACATTCACACTAGGCCCCCAGTAGCCTGCTTGATGCCCTGGAGCAGCACTTGGCCTCTTTAGAGGGAAAGAAAGTCAAAGACTCCACAGCAGCCAGCAGGTAGGTCTGTTTCACTTCATCTGGCTCCCTGCCATCCGAGCTCAGCGCTTAGGCTCGTGTTTGCCTCAGCAGCTTGATAGCATTGGACTGATTTTGAAAGTTTTTTCAGCATGGAAGATGGAAAGATGAACTTTCTTCAGAGTAAAACTATTTATTTATGTGTCACCATTCAGAACACAGTACAAACAAGTCAGCTTTGACATCACAGAGAAGTAAAGCAAAGGGTACCAAACTCCAGTTGTTAAAGTCAATTTGGGCAAATCTCACTGGTATTGGGGAGTTTTTTGATGACACTGAACTGATTTTTGGTTTGTTGCTATTTTCTGTATCTGTCCTTTGATTCAGGGCTAGCACCCTCTCCAATGCGGTCTCCTCCCTGGCCAACACAGGCATATCTTTCACCAAAGTGGACGAAAGGGAAAAACAGGCAGCCCTGGAGGAAGAGCAATCTCGCCTAAAAGCACTAAAGGTACATTTTTTTTCTTCACTCACCTTCACTTCTTTCAGCTTAGTGCACCTCAGGCCTGCAGGCATTTTCTGTACCTTTTTCTGTTTGTTGTAGTCAGAACAATTCCCATACAGTGGTTATATCAAATGCATAGCCAACTATAGAGTATAGGGACATTCCCATGGTTTAGGTGGTTTAGAAACTAATAAAAACTAAAAGTAAACATTAAAAAAAAAACTTAACTGAAGTGAGCAAATCCACTCTGTACACTAATTGAAAGAATTGAAATCAGAAATTATGAGAATAAAAATAAGAACTAATCAGAAATGCAAAACTACAGTAACGTTGCCATGAGCTGCGAGATTAAAGCTAAATACTCAACAAAAACTGTGTTGCTAACAATATTCTCCCAATTATCGAAGGAGCAGCGTCTGAAAGAGCTCCAGAAGAATCCCGCTGCAGCGACCACAGACTCCTCCCCTGTCTCCACGGTGGGCGGGACCATCAACTCAGCACCTGCCATTGACCTCTTCTCCACCCCCAGCTCCACCAACAGGTGAGGCCACAGGATTTTCATTTAAACTGAGACCAGATTTACTTTTGCAGATATATCAGGATTAAAGGTTAAAAAAAAGAGATCAGATCATTTTGTTCAGTGAACTCCATAAATTAAGTCTGGGACGTTGAAGACAAAAAAAAAAGAATTACTAAGTTGTGCCTTTACAGCTAATAGGTTAGTCAATTGATTTTAATGACCTGAGGTGGAATTACTACCTAAATCCAAGTAGATGGCTAAAACATTTCACAGTGGTTTCACAGGTTCTGAGTTCTCTAAGATTAGATGAAACTTTGATCCCTGGACAGAAACTGGGGCGCTGCAGCAGCAGTGCTGACAACATTAGATGCAGCGCAAGAAAATACATTAAAAGTACTTATGCAAAAAGGGGCAACATAACATGCTAACATAACACTGTCAATGTTTTAAACATCCAAATTTGTACACAGAAATAAGAATTAAGAATATATCTGTGTGTCACCCTGCATTACTTAGGATGAAACTGCTGTCATACTTTTTTACTTCTAATAGCAACCTTATGTTGAACCTAATGTTTTTTTCTTAATGAGTGACTGATTTATCCTCCATGTCCTTGTGTTGCTGCACACCCTCTAGCACCTCTAAGGCAGCCAATGAACTGCTGGACCTGCAGCCGGCTTTCCAGCAGGCGCTGCCTCTCTCCACCACCAACACATGGGGAGGTGAGAGCTTCACCCTTCTTCACAATACATCACTCTACACTGCTACCACATTTCCAAGCACACATACATGACACATACTCAGTAGCACACAGGCATCTTTCAGACACTCCCCACAGTACACACATTTAGTGGTATGATTCCTTAGAATTTATATACCTTTTGTGTAAAAGAAGGATTGAGGTTGATGTATGATAATTCAAATTAAATATTGTATTATTGCAGTGCCTGTTCAAAACATGCCTGTTTGGAACGGGCAGATTGCTTGACCTCCAGTATTGCTCCTTTCAGCTTTTTTTGAAAAACCCACCCGTCCAAACAACCTTACACTCAACACTGCACTTCCCTGGGTCCTGTGCAATACACCTGCCATGACATAGTTGTGTCCCCTAGCAGTGCTAGTCTACACACTTCATTTGCTAACAGAGAGCTATTTAGGCTATTTCTAGTAACAAAAGCTTGAGTTCCGAAGTTACATCACTGATGCTTGTATTGTTTGAGTTTGCTACAATGTAACATCTCCGGTCTTTCCGGTCTCTCTTTCTTCATCTGTTTTTGAATGTACTGTAGTAAGCGATAGTGAGTGAGCTGTACCCAACATGCCGTTTGGTGGTTGTAACAGCTAATAGGGGTCCTCACTCAGTACACTTCACGGAGTGTGACTCACACACTACTAATAAACATGTCCTGCAGATGTTAAGAGCTCCCACTTGACACTGCACTTCCTTGGGTCCTCAGCAATACACCCACCAAGAGTGAAGTTGATCAGACGAGTGGTTGTCAAGAAAATCAAAGGACAGACAGACAGACAGACATACGTTTTGGTTAGATATAGAACAACAAAATTAAACACAAAGGGAGAGAATAAAACATGAGTATTACTGATTGTATCCTTTTAAAATGTCTTTTATTGTGCGGTGTTGGCCATGTATTTTGAACTGTGGTTTGTGTCTTGCTTTTTCTGTAAAACATCAACTACTGGCTCTACAAACACAATGTCCTCATTACTCATGCAAATGGCAGCAGGCCTGACTGCCCTGGAGGTGGAGGTGAACAGATATTTTACAAACCTTGGCTGCAAACATTGTTAAATCACTATTTATCAGGCACAAGAAGTAATTAAATCTGTTGATGGTGTACTAGATTTATATTCTCAGGTCATCATGTATATGTGAACGGGTTGGTAAATGGTAATGGACTTGCATTTATATAGCGCCCCTGTAGTCTTCTGACCACTCAAAGCACTTTACAATACATGCCACATTCACCCATTCACACAGTGGTGGCTGAGGTCACCATACAGGGTGCCAACTACTCATCAGTTAAACATTGATACCCACTCACACCAGTGGGGAGCAATTTGTGGTTTTGGCATCCTGGCCAAGGATAGTTCGACATGACGATTGGAGGAGCCAGGGGTTGAACCGCTGATCTTCTGATTCATGGATGACCTGCTCTACTTCCTGAGCCACAGCCACTCCACATTATGCCCAACAAAGCTCCTCAGCTATTCTAAAATCACTATAAACCACAGCCTCTCATGGTTTATTACTTTATTTAATATAAGGCGACATAGCATGCTCATTCATTTCAAGTAATTTTTGCTTTTATTGTATTGGAAAAAGCTTTTCCAAAATAAGTGTTAAAGGTCTAGTATGTAGTATTTAGTGGCACCTAGTGGTGAGGTTGCAGATTGCATCACACTGAAACTTTTATGTGCCATGGGTGTAGTAAAACTACAGCGGCCAACGTGAAAACACAAATGGCCCTATCCTGAGCCGGTGATTGGTTTGTCCATTCTGGGCTACTGTAGAAACAATGTGGTGTACTCAGTCTACTACACAGAGTCAGACTCAACCTTTGTGGCGTTTGGTTGGTGCCAACTTCACTGTCTGTGTATTTATTTTGCCAAGTGATAATGCAGTTGGTCATGCAGTGTTTGAACACGTATATGCTTTATTAACTCATTCTGAAGTAATTAACTTGACTGTTCTAACTACAGGTGCATTTTATTGTTTTATTTGAATGTTACCTGTCGGATGACCGCTTAGCCGCACGCATAGAAGAATAAATATACCACTCATGTAAGAATAGAGAAGAGCTGTGTGATGTCCGTGCAGGCAATTGTGGTTTCCGCATTCAGCGTAGCAGCTTTAGTTGAGCTGGATGTTCTCTGCTGTGGGCATGTCCCATCTATGTAAGGTAATAAAAACATAACAGTTCTTAGGTCCGTGTGATCATACACTAAAGAAAACACAGTTATGATTATTAAGTATCATTTCTGCCAAAGTATCTCCCTAAATCCTACATCCTGGATCTTTAAGGCACATTTGATTTTTGCTAATTCATGCCTGAGAAACGTCAACATTGTGAATGTATATGTTTAAGAGCTTGGTAGTAAATGGACTTGACAGTGTTAAATAATTACAGTTCCTGTAGGTGTTACCATATGATTGCCTTGTTCCTGTTTGCACTTACTGTATTTTGTCACAAACAGGTTAGCCAAGATTCCCAAAATAGACACTCATTCTGAATACAGACATCATATACAGCTGTTTAATTGTAAGGACAAATGTCTTTGGATATCAGCCCTGGTGCTGGACTCTGACCGTTCTGATAATGAAGACCCTTAACCTGTGGACTGCTTAAAGCAGTCTTGATAAAGCTGGTCGTCAGATCTGAAGTTTGGGCCAATGAAAGCTGTGCATGATATCAGCCTGTCGCTGTATCTTAACCACTGTTGTAATTCTTCTCACCTGCATCACTGACATTTTCCCCTACATATCATCTTGCATGCACCTTTTTAACTTTTCAGTTTTCTCACCCTCCTCTCCACCATAATCTGTCTGTTTCTTCTTTTTTTCTTGTCTTCCTTTTCTCCCTGTCTGCCCACTCAGATCCTTTCACCTCTGCTGCAGAAGCTGTGGAGGAATCCATTCCAAACTCAAACCCTTTCCTCACACTACCTGTTGTCGATGCTGTCCAGCTGTCCACGGCGTCCTCAGACGCTGGCAGTCTGTCCTCTAGGACACCTAGCCATGAAGTGTTTGGTGGGATAGTTTTGCTGCATCTTGTCTTTTCTTTTACATTCTAGATTTTATTTTCTGTCCACACCACATGTTGATGTGTTTTACTCATGTAACTAGTCTCATAACGTCACCCTGGCTTATGATACAGTGTGATTAAAAAAAGAAATGTAGTGAATACATAGAAGTGCATTTCAGAGCGGTAGGGAAAGAAAGGGAGGAAATGCCTGAAGTGGTTTAGGGTCATTGGTCAGAGCATTTTTTTAGACTTATCTCACTGTTATCAAAGATCTGGCAAGCTGCCCCGCACCAAATATTTGTTTCCTTCCACAATCAGGCTAAGTTTCTAATGTTTGTTTTCTCAGCTCTTAACTCTCTTTGATTAAGGCTGTCGTATTTCCTTTCTGTGTTTGTGTTTGTATTTCAAAGGCCATAACTCTGTTGCATGAATGTCCATCTTTATAAGCAGACTGTTTGTCTTTCCCCAGATCATTACAATCCCTTTTTTGACTCAAACTCTTCCCTGGCGTCTGATCTTGACACTGCTGCGCAGATAGAGACATTTATCACAGGTACAGACAACTGTCTGGCTGCTAAATTGCTGACATGGGAGATGAGCTGTTTTGTAACATATGTGAATTGTCATGAGTAGAACTAGACTGACACGGTGTCTCTCGGAGATGTCAGAGTGTTGCACAGAGCATTCCTGCTGAACATGCCGCCTTTCTCCCTCCCTGCTTCCTACAAGCCAATGGTTGTGAGCCTGCATTGTTTTGTGGTTAGCCATCAGTTATGCACTGCCCTGAATTTTCCCCTGTATTTAGTCTAGCCATGTGATAAGTGCCGGCTTCCTCCGCTTTTGTCCTGCAAATCCTGATCTTTGTTTTTCCTCTGTTAAAAAGCCATTCCCACAGTTGCTTGGCTTCCTTGCTGCTCTCTCACTGCTGGATTTTTTTCTGGTCTCATATGTTCATAATCTTCTCCCTTCTTCCTCCCTCTTCTTTCTCCGCCTGGTTCTTTGCCTGTCTGCTGCTGCTGTTGTGTGTCAGACTCCTTCTGTGGGCCAAGCCTTTACAACACTACTCCACTCTTCCAATCTGAGCCCCCTGCTGTAGCTGGTCTATTCAGAGGTAGGTATTCCCAGGTGGATCAAGGTGTTACGAGTCCTACTCGGGAATCTCACCTAATGCACCAGATGTACCTTACTTTTGTTATTTTGTGTTGTATTTTTTCTTAATCTCCTGGAAAAATGTCCACATGGATATTTGAGGTTTTTACAGCAAAGCAACAACTGAGTTTGATCTCGGGGGGAAAAACTGAGTGATCTATACACAGATAGTTAACCCTTAAAGGCACACCTAATAATTATTTTCAAAATTAATCATTTATAACATGTTGGAAAATAGTGAAAATTGGCCATCACAATTTCTTAAAGTCCAAGGCCCATCTTTAAAATTTTAAATGTCTTATTTTGTCTATCAGCAGCTCAAACCCCCAAAATATTCAGTTTTCAATCACATAAAAGTTATAGTTGTATAAAAATTCATCCTACAGCTACAGTTGTTATGAATGGGGAAATCAGCTATAGAGACCAAAACCGTCTATACTAGGCTGTAAACATGTTTATGTCTTCTGTCAATTTTGGCATTTTAACATTGATGTCGTAAGGAATTGACTCGTTCCTGGAGTCAGCCTCAAGTGGCCATTAGAGGAACTGCAGTTTTTGACACTTGCATGTAAGCTTTATCTTTCACCATCTGATGTGGCTGCTTGGTGCTTAGGCCTAATGTAAAGGAGATGGAGAAACTAAAGGTATAGCATGACATCATCTGATCTCTTTTACACTTAATACTCAACTACATTGTTGGTAGGGTGGAATAGCATTGGTAGAGTAGCACATGGTGATTACTACAGTAAGTCAAGTAGTTATGCAGTTTTCCCAAATAGTCTTGTGTAATACTTTTAGACTGGAAACGGTGGTTGGTATTTGGAATCTTCCAGATAGTTTTCTACTAATTTGTGGTTGTGTTGGGAGGAACAGAGGTATTGTGGTGTCAATATTTGGTTACAGACAGTTAACTTTCTTTTTGTCTCAACAGGGTTTACAGCCTCCCCAACTCCCCAGCAGCCACAGAACTCTCGAGGCCTTAACGTTGACTTTGACTCAGTATTTGGCAACAACACCAATGCCAACAACATAGAATCTACAGGTAAGTCTTTCAGTCCAACATACACTGATATTTTTTTGTCTTCCCATTGGCCTTTTGGAGCCAGCGGACCTCGTACTCTGCTGCCACCTGGAGGTTTGGGTGACAGATTGCATGTTCAGTGGCTCATGTTGAGGAAAATCAAAGAGCTGGACTTTGATTTGTTTGTCAGTTTGTGGTTTTTGTGGACTATGAATGTTTGGAGCATATTCAAAATGTTTTACTGATTGGGTGATTTGACTGATTATTGAGATGATTGCCCATTTCTCCTTTGTTAACATGCAGAGAACAAATAGCACACAGCATCTGCATATGGTATATACACACTAACAATTTTAACCCACACAGCGTACTACTTCAAGACTCACTGGTTCTGTGAGAACTTCCTAAAGGTCCAATGTGTAGGTTTTAGGGGGGTATATTGGCAGCAATGGAACATAATATAATTGGTATATATTTTATTTATTGTATAATCACCTGAAAATAAGAATTGTTGTGTTTTTGTTACCTTAGAATGAGTTGTTTATATCTGCGTAAGGAGTGGTTCCTCTTCTGTGGAGATTGCCATGTTCACCACCATGTTTCTACAGTAACCCAAAACAGACAAACCAAACACATGGCTCCAGATAGGGCCATTCGTGTTTTTGCATTTTTGCATTGACCACTGTAGTTAGATGCCCATCTGCAATGAAGAGTGCTGGAAAAACACTGACTTGTGACATAAAACTGCTTTATTTAGTGTTTTTACCAATGTAAATCACTGGGTCTGTTTGTTTTAGAGAGGCACTGTAGAGACCTTTGTAGATAATTCGGCTCAAAAACCTCCTGAATAAAGAACACTGAAGGAATTCTAGCTGGCAGAAGTTTGAGCTAGTTGCAGTCTGCCGTCCTCACTGCTAGATGCCACTAAATTCTCCTAATCTTATGTACTGTTCCTTTAAAAAGACATAATCTGACCATGAAATTGATTTTACACTGCACAATATATTTTCACAAGACAATGACATAGTTGGGCGTTGGCCCTTTCTGACGTATCCTGCTAAGCACATCAAAGATAGCAATCATCGGAACTTCTTATCTTTGAATATCCGCTCAATTGTGCTTCAGCCATCTCATCAGAACATTTATTTTTAGCATGCATATGTGCAGCAAAATATGTCGTGTTATTGTGTGTTGTGTGGCTGTAGAAATCATTTCACCTGTGAGGGACTTGTTTTTAGATTATTTGTTGTCTATTGTAATTTACAATGAGAAAACAAGCACCCCATTTATAAAACTATTCACTTCAGAATTTTTGTTTTACCTGTGACTGGAATTTTAGGTTTTAGAGTTATTAATCTGTTGTGTGTGGTATTTAAAATCTAAATATCACTTAAGATAGACATTGGTGTAATTGCAAACAAATGAGCCCATTACTTGAAACATTGGCAGCCTGTAATGGGCTCTACGCTGCATTTAACATTGTGTGCCACCGAGACAGATTTTTGAGAAAATCACATAAATTGTGATTAATGAGAAATTGGTCTTAATTTTGATGAACACTGTCACTAACAGTACAACTGGAGTGTGATTGATGTTAATGACTATTTCACCCTTTGCTTCTTAGTGTATGGTAATTAAACCAACATATCATCATCAGTTTGGCAAGAGTAAATTGCCACATTTGGCACCTCGAATCTCTTATGCACACACTGTTTGTACACCTTCACTGGGTTCTGGGCTGTTCACGATCTCACTCCATTTTTTTCTCTTCTCCCTGGGGTTAAACACACTCTCTGGGGCCTTGGCTTTTTTGCATGGCATATGCATGACTGGGTGAGTTGACTCAACACACACTCCTCTCACACAGTCTTGGCTTGATGAGGTTTTTTTCTGTGAGCCCTGCTTCCTGCCTCGTCCACGCTCAACATGCTCTCTCTGTCCATGTGTGTGCATTTTTTTGTTTGCGTTTGTCTTCGTGTGTTGTTTTGTTGTTGTCTGTTGTATTGTCTTCACTTCTTTTGGACCCCTCTCCCTTTGTCTCGTCCCCTTTTGATTAAGATGTTTTAGGTGGCATCCTCAAACCCACAGTGGCATCCTCACCCAGTCAGGGCATGACCCTGAACGGCCAACAGTCCCACAAACTGGTATCCAATGACCTGGACTCGTCGCTGGCCAATCTTGTCGGAAGTAAGTCTCCCTTTTTTTTGCAACCATGACTGCAAACAATTAATAAATAGAACTAACAGTGTTATAAACAGATTGGATGAGGTGAAGTTTGTACCAAACAGTAGTAGTAGAGGAGCATAGACAATTACAAAATGATAGCATGGAAATAAACAAAAACATTAAAATTTAAACATCATGCCTTGTGTGAAGTAGGTGTGTTGTTTTCATGACTGTGCATTCTTTCCATTGCTTCTGTCCTCTTTAGATCTGGGAATTGGCAACGGCACAACAAAGAAGTAAGTGCACTCAAGTAATATTTAACTCCATATCCCTGATGGTGCATACTAAACACGACTAACATTTTTACTTGATCTCTGTAGTGATCTTCACTGGAGTCAGCCTGGCGAGAAGAAGCTGACAGGCGGAACCAACTGGCAACCCAAGACAGCTCCTTCTACCACCTGGAACCCTGCAACCATGGTAGGGCTCTTACCTATCTGTGCATATCTGGTAACCAGGAAACGCCTGTAAAGCAGATCAGTTGGGCATAAACAAGTTTTAGCCACCTTTTTATAGCAGTGGCTCTCCTCTATAGTCCTGTAAGTTCTAAAAATGTGGCAGCGTCAGTAGGGCTGTCACTATGCAGGAATTCTCTCTGCGGGGGCCATTTTTTGTTGCTTTACTTAATTTATCCTGATTTTAGTGCTTTGTAAATAAGCATTATGGTTAGATTAGATACGTTGTTGTTATGTATTGTTTTTTTTTTTTGTTTGTTTTTTTCAAATTGGGCACAAACCTTCACTTGGACTCAATGATGAACTGATAAGATTTTGGTGGTGAAAGGTCAAGGTCACTTTGACCTTGAATCTGTCTCTTTCTTGTAAACACAGTATCTTAAGCACACCTCGAGGGAATTTCTTCAAATCTGGCACAAATGCCACTGGACTCAACAATGAACTGATTAGATTTTGGAGGTCACAGGTCAAGGCTGATTGTATGTGTCTTCTGTGCTGCTGGGGGGAAGATGTGTGTGAGGCTTTACATGTTTACACAGACATGGATGTAACCTATAAGTGCAACTTTACGGTGCGCAGAGGCATACAACTGCAAGGCGCTAATCCTAGTTTTCAGCTGAGAGGCTGTGATTGCTTTGTTATACTTTGATCCGCGGGAGTAAAAATATCGGCACAAGGTAGAGTACTTGCTCTGGATGAAGGGAAGGCTTACGCTTAGAGGGAGAGAGGAATGAACTGCCGGTCTGTGTGGGTTCATTATTGATTTTTCCTCCGTTGTTGTTGTTCAGCAATGTAACAGTTGGTCTTTGTGGTATTTGTACCACCCCTCTTACACTGTAATTAGACTGCTGGGTAAAAAAGTGACAGTGACGAGTGGCTGAAGTGTTTTACCCAAAACTGATCCAAATGGGCAGCACTCAGCTAGGGCAGGCTGATAAAACGATAACAGTAGTTATATCAATACAACTTTCCTAGATAGAGATATGATAAATCTTCAATATTATTAAACCGCCCATACAGGGTAGTAATGCACCTTAAATGCCATTGCCAATGCCAACTGATGGCATGGTACGGTCGACTCATCTAATAGTAATGGTAAATGACTGACTAACATAACTGACTATCGGGCCTTTTAATTGGAATGATATGATGTAACGTGGCTAAAGATAATGACGGAGTCACGTCAAATAGATTTTCATTTGCAATAAATGACCCTACGTTACTTCACAATGTCATCGAAGTCCATCTTTTGTTATTATTGTGATTGAGAAATGGCTGAAATTGGTTAAAACTCTCTGACCAACATTGACATGCAGTGGTTGATATTCAACTTCAGCAGCACCACTCTGTCCAGAGGCCATGCCACCAGTAACACTGCAGCCACAGCAGACAACAGCCTGGGCTCCAACATCAGCCCACCATTCCTGTGTGGACAACCTAGTCATGTGCAGAGGGGCTCAGTGGAGCTGTGTTTAGCTTTGGTTACTGTAATTTAAAGTCTCTGTTTTCTGTCTGCCAAGAAATGCCCAGGCAAGCTGTCCCTGCCAGCTCTTTTCTTGCTGACTTGCCGGTTTACGGTGTTGAGTGACTTTGGAACTACGGCTTTTCTGGATGGCCTTCAGTTCTTCCTGTATTGTGTATTTACTGTGCTTTCTTGGCTCCCAAGTGTCCTCTACTATTGTTAACTGGTGTCATAACAGGTACAGCCTTTTGTATCTGCCTGTGATGTCCTATTGAATGGTTGTTAAAATGACAGTTTAAGTGGGTCTGGAGCTTTGGCTTATTTTTCACTTTCCCTTGCTGTTTAACATGCTTGTAGACTGATTTCAGACTGTGTGCTTTTATTGTGCTGTTATATTTTCTGTTTTCTCCTGCATCTTAGATGTTTTTCAAAATCAACATTTTGAGTTATTGGAGACGTTGCCAGTCAAAGTAATTAAATGATTGTTGCAATCAGGATCAACCCACAAAAATGTAGCCACATGAGGTCCAAAATTATCAGTAAAGAAATTGTAAATGCACCTGACACCTCTGACACCTTTATTGACCAACATGGACAAAGGACTGTGTTGCATGCACTGCATGTAAGGGAAATCCTGATAATCTTTTGTGTGGCCATGATTTGTCATGCAACATTTTCATATTCTGAGTATAGTCTATAACTTCCTCCTAATGTGGGAAATGACAAGCCTCAGACATGAGATCTACACTCACAAAGTAACGGCAGCCTGTGTCTCCTGTCATTCTCTCTACCTTCTATCACTTGTGTTTCACCGTGCTTTTTGGAGTTTAGTGTTTCTGTATTAAACATTCAAACTACAATCTCACTTTGGTCAAATGTTCAAAAAGAGCTTCTGACAGTAATCTGCAGAACACCTTCTAACTGTAGCCTCAGTGCTTGTGATCATACTCAAAGCACACATGAGTTATAGATGATGTGGCTAAATGTCAGAGGATGATCAAAAGCTGATGAGTGTTCTCTGATGAAGCCAGAAAGAAAGCGTTTGTGACTTGAAATAAGCTGATTCACTAAGAGGCAGAAACACAACATCCATCAGTCGTTAAAGGATAACCAGTAGCGTGATGCAAAAACCGAGCCTTATCATGTCATTACTAACTATCTGAGGAACACTGAGTGAGATGTCCCTGAAACAAACCAAACATTGTCAGCGAGGAGGAATTCTGAAGGAGAGCTCTCGGTGCAATGAAACAAGCACAGTCTGTGATGAAAGCAGCAATTTTGGCACCAGCGTCATGTCTGACTCACTTGTGCCTCCCTCGCCAATGACTGAATAGTTAATGAAATGTATCCTTCCCGAGAGGGCCGGGTGTTAGACAAATCTGGGTTTGTTATCACTGCAGGGGCTGCTGGGGAAGCAAGGAAAAGGAAAGGGTCTGTACTTGTTTCTCTCTAATCTCTTTCCACGACGAGCACCTGCTAGCAACCAACTTCTGCCCCCAGGACTCAACACACTCTTCTACTGGCTTTCCTTTACTTCGGTCTATCATTCTCTTGTTAAAAATAACAGCTGTATAAGAGCTAGAAACCCTTAAAGACTGGTTTAAAGGCAGTTTTGTGGTAGTATTTTAGATGTTTTCAGTAGAAAATTTGTGTCTCGTGGCGTGAATGCTGTTTTTTAGTCTCTTTCCACCTTCGTGTTTTGGATTTAACACTAAATGTGAAACATGTTTATAGTGTTATTGATCAAATAGGTGCTTTTTGGACACAGCACCCTCAATCCCTCCATACTGTGAAGTGGGACCCGAAGTAAACAAGATACCATATGAATGCAGTGAAATCATTTTAATTTGGAAAAAGTAAAGTGTGCATTTAATGAACACAACTGAAATGTCTCAATTTCCTAGAGTGCAGGAGCTAACGCAGCAATGGTGGCTAACATCCAACAGTCCCCACAAACTCAGACCAACATGGAAACGGCTTGACTACCAACAGTCAGCCCCATCACTGTGTGTGTGCAGCCAGGTGGACTCTCACAACTGTCTCCACCACAGAGCTCACACTTCNGACAGACAGACATACGTTTTGGTTAGATATAGAACAACAAAATTAAACACAAAGGGAGAGAATAAAACATGAGTATTACTGATTGTATCCTTTTAAAATGTCTTTTATTGTGCGGTGTTGGCCATGTATTTTGAACTGTGGTTTGTGTCTTGCTTTTTCTGTAAAACATCAACTACTGGCTCTACAAACACAATGTCCTCATTACTCATGCAAATGGCAGCAGGCCTGACTGCCCTGGAGGTGGAGGTGAACAGATATTTTACAAACCTTGGCTGCAAACATTGTTAAATCACTATTTATCAGGCACAAGAAGTAATTAAATCTGTTGATGGTGTACTAGATTTATATTCTCAGGTCATCATGTATATGTGAACGGGTTGGTAAATGGTAATGGACTTGCATTTATATAGCGCCCCTGTAGTCTTCTGACCACTCAAAGCACTTTACAATACATGCCACATTCACCCATTCACACAGTGGTGGCTGAGGTCACCATACAGGGTGCCAACTACTCATCAGTTAAACATTGATACCCACTCACACCAGTGGGGAGCAATTTGTGGTTTTGGCATCCTGGCCAAGGATAGTTCGACATGACGATTGGAGGAGCCAGGGGTTGAACCGCTGATCTTCTGATTCATGGATGACCTGCTCTACTTCCTGAGCCACAGCCACTCCACATTATGCCCAACAAAGCTCCTCAGCTATTCTAAAATCACTATAAACCACAGCCTCTCATGGTTTATTACTTTATTTAATATAAGGCGACATAGCATGCTCATTCATTTCAAGTAATTTTTGCTTTTATTGTATTGGAAAAAGCTTTTCCAAAATAAGTGTTAAAGGTCTAGTATGTAGTATTTAGTGGCACCTAGTGGTGAGGTTGCAGATTGCATCACACTGAAACTTTTATGTGCCATGGGTGTAGTAAAACTACAGCGGCCAACGTGAAAACACAAATGGCCCTATCCTGAGCCGGTGATTGGTTTGTCCATTCTGGGCTACTGTAGAAACAATGTGGTGTACTCAGTCTACTACACAGAGTCAGACTCAACCTTTGTGGCGTTTGGTTGGTGCCAACTTCACTGTCTGTGTATTTATTTTGCCAAGTGATAATGCAGTTGGTCATGCAGTGTTTGAACACGTATATGCTTTATTAACTCATTCTGAAGTAATTAACTTGACTGTTCTAACTACAGGTGCATTTTATTGTTTTATTTGAATGTTACCTGTCGGATGACCGCTTAGCCGCACGCATAGAAGAATAAATATACCACTCATGTAAGAATAGAGAAGAGCTGTGTGATGTCCGTGCAGGCAATTGTGGTTTCCGCATTCAGCGTAGCAGCTTTAGTTGAGCTGGATGTTCTCTGCTGTGGGCATGTCCCATCTATGTAAGGTAATAAAAACATAACAGTTCTTAGGTCCGTGTGATCATACACTAAAGAAAACACAGTTATGATTATTAAGTATCATTTCTGCCAAAGTATCTCCCTAAATCCTACATCCTGGATCTTTAAGGCACATTTGATTTTTGCTAATTCATGCCTGAGAAACGTCAACATTGTGAATGTATATGTTTAAGAGCTTGGTAGTAAATGGACTTGACAGTGTTAAATAATTACAGTTCCTGTAGGTGTTACCATATGATTGCCTTGTTCCTGTTTGCACTTACTGTATTTTGTCACAAACAGGTTAGCCAAGATTCCCAAAATAGACACTCATTCTGAATACAGACATCATATACAGCTGTTTAATTGTAAGGACAAATGTCTTTGGATATCAGCCCTGGTGCTGGACTCTGACCGTTCTGATAATGAAGACCCTTAACCTGTGGACTGCTTAAAGCAGTCTTGATAAAGCTGGTCGTCAGATCTGAAGTTTGGGCCAATGAAAGCTGTGCATGATATCAGCCTGTCGCTGTATCTTAACCACTGTTGTAATTCTTCTCACCTGCATCACTGACATTTTCCCCTACATATCATCTTGCATGCACCTTTTTAACTTTTCAGTTTTCTCACCCTCCTCTCCACCATAATCTGTCTGTTTCTTCTTTTTTTCTTGTCTTCCTTTTCTCCCTGTCTGCCCACTCAGATCCTTTCACCTCTGCTGCAGAAGCTGTGGAGGAATCCATTCCAAACTCAAACCCTTTCCTCACACTACCTGTTGTCGATGCTGTCCAGCTGTCCACGGCGTCCTCAGACGCTGGCAGTCTGTCCTCTAGGACACCTAGCCATGAAGTGTTTGGTGGGATAGTTTTGCTGCATCTTGTCTTTTCTTTTACATTCTAGATTTTATTTTCTGTCCACACCACATGTTGATGTGTTTTACTCATGTAACTAGTCTCATAACGTCACCCTGGCTTATGATACAGTGTGATTAAAAAAAGAAATGTAGTGAATACATAGAAGTGCATTTCAGAGCGGTAGGGAAAGAAAGGGAGGAAATGCCTGAAGTGGTTTAGGGTCATTGGTCAGAGCATTTTTTTAGACTTATCTCACTGTTATCAAAGATCTGGCAAGCTGCCCCGCACCAAATATTTGTTTCCTTCCACAATCAGGCTAAGTTTCTAATGTTTGTTTTCTCAGCTCTTAACTCTCTTTGATTAAGGCTGTCGTATTTCCTTTCTGTGTTTGTGTTTGTATTTCAAAGGCCATAACTCTGTTGCATGAATGTCCATCTTTATAAGCAGACTGTTTGTCTTTCCCCAGATCATTACAATCCCTTTTTTGACTCAAACTCTTCCCTGGCGTCTGATCTTGACACTGCTGCGCAGATAGAGACATTTATCACAGGTACAGACAACTGTCTGGCTGCTAAATTGCTGACATGGGAGATGAGCTGTTTTGTAACATATGTGAATTGTCATGAGTAGAACTAGACTGACACGGTGTCTCTCGGAGATGTCAGAGTGTTGCACAGAGCATTCCTGCTGAACATGCCGCCTTTCTCCCTCCCTGCTTCCTACAAGCCAATGGTTGTGAGCCTGCATTGTTTTGTGGTTAGCCATCAGTTATGCACTGCCCTGAATTTTCCCCTGTATTTAGTCTAGCCATGTGATAAGTGCCGGCTTCCTCCGCTTTTGTCCTGCAAATCCTGATCTTTGTTTTTCCTCTGTTAAAAAGCCATTCCCACAGTTGCTTGGCTTCCTTGCTGCTCTCTCACTGCTGGATTTTTTTCTGGTCTCATATGTTCATAATCTTCTCCCTTCTTCCTCCCTCTTCTTTCTCCGCCTGGTTCTTTGCCTGTCTGCTGCTGCTGTTGTGTGTCAGACTCCTTCTGTGGGCCAAGCCTTTACAACACTACTCCACTCTTCCAATCTGAGCCCCCTGCTGTAGCTGGTCTATTCAGAGGTAGGTATTCCCAGGTGGATCAAGGTGTTACGAGTCCTACTCGGGAATCTCACCTAATGCACCAGATGTACCTTACTTTTGTTATTTTGTGTTGTATTTTTTCTTAATCTCCTGGAAAAATGTCCACATGGATATTTGAGGTTTTTACAGCAAAGCAACAACTGAGTTTGATCTCGGGGGGAAAAACTGAGTGATCTATACACAGATAGTTAACCCTTAAAGGCACACCTAATAATTATTTTCAAAATTAATCATTTATAACATGTTGGAAAATAGTGAAAATTGGCCATCACAATTTCTTAAAGTCCAAGGCCCATCTTTAAAATTTTAAATGTCTTATTTTGTCTATCAGCAGCTCAAACCCCCAAAATATTCAGTTTTCAATCACATAAAAGTTATAGTTGTATAAAAATTCATCCTACAGCTACAGTTGTTATGAATGGGGAAATCAGCTATAGAGACCAAAACCGTCTATACTAGGCTGTAAACATGTTTATGTCTTCTGTCAATTTTGGCATTTTAACATTGATGTCGTAAGGAATTGACTCGTTCCTGGAGTCAGCCTCAAGTGGCCATTAGAGGAACTGCAGTTTTTGACACTTGCATGTAAGCTTTATCTTTCACCATCTGATGTGGCTGCTTGGTGCTTAGGCCTAATGTAAAGGAGATGGAGAAACTAAAGGTATAGCATGACATCATCTGATCTCTTTTACACTTAATACTCAACTACATTGTTGGTAGGGTGGAATAGCATTGGTAGAGTAGCACATGGTGATTACTACAGTAAGTCAAGTAGTTATGCAGTTTTCCCAAATAGTCTTGTGTAATACTTTTAGACTGGAAACGGTGGTTGGTATTTGGAATCTTCCAGATAGTTTTCTACTAATTTGTGGTTGTGTTGGGAGGAACAGAGGTATTGTGGTGTCAATATTTGGTTACAGACAGTTAACTTTCTTTTTGTCTCAACAGGGTTTACAGCCTCCCCAACTCCCCAGCAGCCACAGAACTCTCGAGGCCTTAACGTTGACTTTGACTCAGTATTTGGCAACAACACCAATGCCAACAACATAGAATCTACAGGTAAGTCTTTCAGTCCAACATACACTGATATTTTTTTGTCTTCCCATTGGCCTTTTGGAGCCAGCGGACCTCGTACTCTGCTGCCACCTGGAGGTTTGGGTGACAGATTGCATGTTCAGTGGCTCATGTTGAGGAAAATCAAAGAGCTGGACTTTGATTTGTTTGTCAGTTTGTGGTTTTTGTGGACTATGAATGTTTGGAGCATATTCAAAATGTTTTACTGATTGGGTGATTTGACTGATTATTGAGATGATTGCCCATTTCTCCTTTGTTAACATGCAGAGAACAAATAGCACACAGCATCTGCATATGGTATATACACACTAACAATTTTAACCCACACAGCGTACTACTTCAAGACTCACTGGTTCTGTGAGAACTTCCTAAAGGTCCAATGTGTAGGTTTTAGGGGGGTATATTGGCAGCAATGGAACATAATATAATTGGTATATATTTTATTTATTGTATAATCACCTGAAAATAAGAATTGTTGTGTTTTTGTTACCTTAGAATGAGTTGTTTATATCTGCGTAAGGAGTGGTTCCTCTTCTGTGGAGATTGCCATGTTCACCACCATGTTTCTACAGTAACCCAAAACAGACAAACCAAACACATGGCTCCAGATAGGGCCATTCGTGTTTTTGCATTTTTGCATTGACCACTGTAGTTAGATGCCCATCTGCAATGAAGAGTGCTGGAAAAACACTGACTTGTGACATAAAACTGCTTTATTTAGTGTTTTTACCAATGTAAATCACTGGGTCTGTTTGTTTTAGAGAGGCACTGTAGAGACCTTTGTAGATAATTCGGCTCAAAAACCTCCTGAATAAAGAACACTGAAGGAATTCTAGCTGGCAGAAGTTTGAGCTAGTTGCAGTCTGCCGTCCTCACTGCTAGATGCCACTAAATTCTCCTAATCTTATGTACTGTTCCTTTAAAAAGACATAATCTGACCATGAAATTGATTTTACACTGCACAATATATTTTCACAAGACAATGACATAGTTGGGCGTTGGCCCTTTCTGACGTATCCTGCTAAGCACATCAAAGATAGCAATCATCGGAACTTCTTATCTTTGAATATCCGCTCAATTGTGCTTCAGCCATCTCATCAGAACATTTATTTTTAGCATGCATATGTGCAGCAAAATATGTCGTGTTATTGTGTGTTGTGTGGCTGTAGAAATCATTTCACCTGTGAGGGACTTGTTTTTAGATTATTTGTTGTCTATTGTAATTTACAATGAGAAAACAAGCACCCCATTTATAAAACTATTCACTTCAGAATTTTTGTTTTACCTGTGACTGGAATTTTAGGTTTTAGAGTTATTAATCTGTTGTGTGTGGTATTTAAAATCTAAATATCACTTAAGATAGACATTGGTGTAATTGCAAACAAATGAGCCCATTACTTGAAACATTGGCAGCCTGTAATGGGCTCTACGCTGCATTTAACATTGTGTGCCACCGAGACAGATTTTTGAGAAAATCACATAAATTGTGATTAATGAGAAATTGGTCTTAATTTTGATGAACACTGTCACTAACAGTACAACTGGAGTGTGATTGATGTTAATGACTATTTCACCCTTTGCTTCTTAGTGTATGGTAATTAAACCAACATATCATCATCAGTTTGGCAAGAGTAAATTGCCACATTTGGCACCTCGAATCTCTTATGCACACACTGTTTGTACACCTTCACTGGGTTCTGGGCTGTTCACGATCTCACTCCATTTTTTTCTCTTCTCCCTGGGGTTAAACACACTCTCTGGGGCCTTGGCTTTTTTGCATGGCATATGCATGACTGGGTGAGTTGACTCAACACACACTCCTCTCACACAGTCTTGGCTTGATGAGGTTTTTTTCTGTGAGCCCTGCTTCCTGCCTCGTCCACGCTCAACATGCTCTCTCTGTCCATGTGTGTGCATTTTTTTGTTTGCGTTTGTCTTCGTGTGTTGTTTTGTTGTTGTCTGTTGTATTGTCTTCACTTCTTTTGGACCCCTCTCCCTTTGTCTCGTCCCCTTTTGATTAAGATGTTTTAGGTGGCATCCTCAAACCCACAGTGGCATCCTCACCCAGTCAGGGCATGACCCTGAACGGCCAACAGTCCCACAAACTGGTATCCAATGACCTGGACTCGTCGCTGGCCAATCTTGTCGGAAGTAAGTCTCCCTTTTTTTTGCAACCATGACTGCAAACAATTAATAAATAGAACTAACAGTGTTATAAACAGATTGGATGAGGTGAAGTTTGTACCAAACAGTAGTAGTAGAGGAGCATAGACAATTACAAAATGATAGCATGGAAATAAACAAAAACATTAAAATTTAAACATCATGCCTTGTGTGAAGTAGGTGTGTTGTTTTCATGACTGTGCATTCTTTCCATTGCTTCTGTCCTCTTTAGATCTGGGAATTGGCAACGGCACAACAAAGAAGTAAGTGCACTCAAGTAATATTTAACTCCATATCCCTGATGGTGCATACTAAACACGACTAACATTTTTACTTGATCTCTGTAGTGATCTTCACTGGAGTCAGCCTGGCGAGAAGAAGCTGACAGGCGGAACCAACTGGCAACCCAAGACAGCTCCTTCTACCACCTGGAACCCTGCAACCATGGTAGGGCTCTTACCTATCTGTGCATATCTGGTAACCAGGAAACGCCTGTAAAGCAGATCAGTTGGGCATAAACAAGTTTTAGCCACCTTTTTATAGCAGTGGCTCTCCTCTATAGTCCTGTAAGTTCTAAAAATGTGGCAGCGTCAGTAGGGCTGTCACTATGCAGGAATTCTCTCTGCGGGGGCCATTTTTTGTTGCTTTACTTAATTTATCCTGATTTTAGTGCTTTGTAAATAAGCATTATGGTTAGATTAGATACGTTGTTGTTATGTATTGTTTTTTTTTTTTGTTTGTTTTTTTCAAATTGGGCACAAACCTTCACTTGGACTCAATGATGAACTGATAAGATTTTGGTGGTGAAAGGTCAAGGTCACTTTGACCTTGAATCTGTCTCTTTCTTGTAAACACAGTATCTTAAGCACACCTCGAGGGAATTTCTTCAAATCTGGCACAAATGCCACTGGACTCAACAATGAACTGATTAGATTTTGGAGGTCACAGGTCAAGGCTGATTGTATGTGTCTTCTGTGCTGCTGGGGGGAAGATGTGTGTGAGGCTTTACATGTTTACACAGACATGGATGTAACCTATAAGTGCAACTTTACGGTGCGCAGAGGCATACAACTGCAAGGCGCTAATCCTAGTTTTCAGCTGAGAGGCTGTGATTGCTTTGTTATACTTTGATCCGCGGGAGTAAAAATATCGGCACAAGGTAGAGTACTTGCTCTGGATGAAGGGAAGGCTTACGCTTAGAGGGAGAGAGGAATGAACTGCCGGTCTGTGTGGGTTCATTATTGATTTTTCCTCCGTTGTTGTTGTTCAGCAATGTAACAGTTGGTCTTTGTGGTATTTGTACCACCCCTCTTACACTGTAATTAGACTGCTGGGTAAAAAAGTGACAGTGACGAGTGGCTGAAGTGTTTTACCCAAAACTGATCCAAATGGGCAGCACTCAGCTAGGGCAGGCTGATAAAACGATAACAGTAGTTATATCAATACAACTTTCCTAGATAGAGATATGATAAATCTTCAATATTATTAAACCGCCCATACAGGGTAGTAATGCACCTTAAATGCCATTGCCAATGCCAACTGATGGCATGGTACGGTCGACTCATCTAATAGTAATGGTAAATGACTGACTAACATAACTGACTATCGGGCCTTTTAATTGGAATGATATGATGTAACGTGGCTAAAGATAATGACGGAGTCACGTCAAATAGATTTTCATTTGCAATAAATGACCCTACGTTACTTCACAATGTCATCGAAGTCCATCTTTTGTTATTATTGTGATTGAGAAATGGCTGAAATTGGTTAAAACTCTCTGACCAACATTGACATGCAGTGGTTGATATTCAACTTCAGCAGCACCACTCTGTCCAGAGGCCATGCCACCAGTAACACTGCAGCCACAGCAGACAACAGCCTGGGCTCCAACATCAGCCCACCATTCCTGTGTGGACAACCTAGTCATGTGCAGAGGGGCTCAGTGGAGCTGTGTTTAGCTTTGGTTACTGTAATTTAAAGTCTCTGTTTTCTGTCTGCCAAGAAATGCCCAGGCAAGCTGTCCCTGCCAGCTCTTTTCTTGCTGACTTGCCGGTTTACGGTGTTGAGTGACTTTGGAACTACGGCTTTTCTGGATGGCCTTCAGTTCTTCCTGTATTGTGTATTTACTGTGCTTTCTTGGCTCCCAAGTGTCCTCTACTATTGTTAACTGGTGTCATAACAGGTACAGCCTTTTGTATCTGCCTGTGATGTCCTATTGAATGGTTGTTAAAATGACAGTTTAAGTGGGTCTGGAGCTTTGGCTTATTTTTCACTTTCCCTTGCTGTTTAACATGCTTGTAGACTGATTTCAGACTGTGTGCTTTTATTGTGCTGTTATATTTTCTGTTTTCTCCTGCATCTTAGATGTTTTTCAAAATCAACATTTTGAGTTATTGGAGACGTTGCCAGTCAAAGTAATTAAATGATTGTTGCAATCAGGATCAACCCACAAAAATGTAGCCACATGAGGTCCAAAATTATCAGTAAAGAAATTGTAAATGCACCTGACACCTCTGACACCTTTATTGACCAACATGGACAAAGGACTGTGTTGCATGCACTGCATGTAAGGGAAATCCTGATAATCTTTTGTGTGGCCATGATTTGTCATGCAACATTTTCATATTCTGAGTATAGTCTATAACTTCCTCCTAATGTGGGAAATGACAAGCCTCAGACATGAGATCTACACTCACAAAGTAACGGCAGCCTGTGTCTCCTGTCATTCTCTCTACCTTCTATCACTTGTGTTTCACCGTGCTTTTTGGAGTTTAGTGTTTCTGTATTAAACATTCAAACTACAATCTCACTTTGGTCAAATGTTCAAAAAGAGCTTCTGACAGTAATCTGCAGAACACCTTCTAACTGTAGCCTCAGTGCTTGTGATCATACTCAAAGCACACATGAGTTATAGATGATGTGGCTAAATGTCAGAGGATGATCAAAAGCTGATGAGTGTTCTCTGATGAAGCCAGAAAGAAAGCGTTTGTGACTTGAAATAAGCTGATTCACTAAGAGGCAGAAACACAACATCCATCAGTCGTTAAAGGATAACCAGTAGCGTGATGCAAAAACAGAGCCTTATCATGTCATTACTAACTATCTGAGGAACACTGAGTGAGATGTCCCTGAAACAAACCAAACATTGTCAGCGAGGAGGAATTCTGAAGGAGAGCTCTCGGTGCAATGAAACAAGCACAGTCTGTGATGAAAGCAGCAATTTTGGCACCAGCGTCATGTCTGACTCACTTGTGCCTCCCTCGCCAATGACTGAATAGTTAATGAAATGTATCCTTCCCGAGAGGGCCGGGTGTTAGACAAATCTGGGTTTGTTATCACTGCAGGGGCTGCTGGGGAAGCAAGGAAAAGGAAAGGGTCTGTACTTGTTTCTCTCTAATCTCTTTCCACGACGAGCACCTGCTAGCAACCAACTTCTGCCCCCAGGACTCAACACACTCTTCTACTGGCTTTCCTTTACTTCGGTCTATCATTCTCTTGTTAAAAATAACAGCTGTATAAGAGCTAGAAACCCTTAAAGACTGGTTTAAAGGCAGTTTTGTGGTAGTATTTTAGATGTTTTCAGTAGAAAATTTGTGTCTCGTGGCGTGAATGCTGTTTTTTAGTCTCTTTCCACCTTCGTGTTTTGGATTTAACACTAAATGTGAAACATGTTTATAGTGTTATTGATCAAATAGGTGCTTTTTGGACACAGCACCCTCAATCCCTCCATACTGTGAAGTGGGACCCGAAGTAAACAAGATACCATATGAATGCAGTGAAATCATTTTAATTTGGAAAAAGTAAAGTGTGCATTTAATGAACACAACTGAAATGTCTCAATTTCCTAGAGTGCAGGAGCTAACGCAGCAATGGTGGCTAACATCCAACAGTCCCCACAAACTCAGACCAACATGGAAACGGCTTGACTACCAACAGTCAGCCCCATCACTGAGTGTGTGCAGCCAGGTGGACTCTCACAACTGTCTCCACCACAGAGCTCACACTTCTGCAGCAGCAGCAGCAGCAGCTACAACCTATACAATCTGTGAGCATGGTGTTATTGGCAGAGTTGGCAGTTCAATGTGCCGAGATGCCACCAAAACATTCAAAAGTACTGCTATAGTACACTCCATCCATTTGCATTATGGGTATTGAATGGAGTTCTCTGTTGATATGGTATCACTGGTACTGGTATTGTAATTTTTGAACGATAACCAGCCCTGAACTTCAGCAACCAGTCTTTTTGGGTAGCTCTGCACAGGGTTGGCACACAGGGATTTGTGGATCTTGCCCCACTCACTGTAGAACAGTCTTAGCTGGAAGAGGGAGGTTTGTTGGTTTTCACTGATGTACACCAACCTTCAAGTCTTTCCAGAGTTTTTTTTATTGGTATTTAGGTCAGTGCTTTGACTTGACCTCTCCAGAACATCCACCTTGTTCTTTGCAAGCTGCATGGTAGTTTTGGCCTTGTTCTCTGGGTCATTGTCCTGTTGGAATATGAATGCATGACCCATTTTCAGACTTTTTGCAGACTTTCTCACGTTCTTCTCCAGAATCTTCCTGTCTTCTGATCTATCCATCCTTCCTTCAAGTCTCAAGTCTCTTTGTATAGGAAAACATCCCCACAACATTATGCTCCCACCAGCGTCTTTCACAGACGCGATGGTATTTTTGGTGATGGTTGGTATTGTTTTTTTTTTTCTCATTGTAGCATTTGGCATTTATGCCAAAAAAGCCAAACTTCAAACAGGCTTCTAGGTGGGTCTTTTTCAGAAACAGCTTTTTCTTGCCACCTTCTCACACAGGTCAAATGTGTGCAATATCTTTGATTGTAATGTGATGCACTTGTTGCCCTCTGTTGGCCATAAAACACTGTTGGCCGTTTAGAGAAGTATTTCACTGCTGGAAAGATGGTTTGGGGTTTTTTATTTCTTCGTAAAACAGAGCTGTCTATGTGGTAGAAGGACACAAATACCCTTGAAACTGGTGCTACATGATCAGAGAAAACAGGAAAAGGGCTGTAGCCTTTGTTTTTGCTCAAGGGGTAGAAAACGTACAACTACCAAAATGCACTGCTACGGGAGTAATGCAAGTTGCCCATCAGAAAACAATATAGTGGCTGGCTGGTAACAAACATAGTTGTATTATAGTTAACCCTTTGGGCCCTAGGCCTTTTTGGGGGTATTTTTTTACTGCCTTTACTGTTAAGCTGATATCACAGTCATTATAAAAGCTACATACATATGCAATTTACATCTAAGATAATGGAAAAATAGTCAACAAAGTGCAATGATGTCCTCCAAGATAATATTTGCCACTTTGTTTGCAGTAAAAAAAAATTCTGGACGTTTTCTTTTCTACATGATCTTGACTTACTTCTCTGTGCTCCGTGCTGCTCTTTGACCTGACCTGAACTGACCTGATGTGAAGTGTGCTGGTCTTCTTATGAATACTTCAATCATTGGAACAAAAGGCAAATTGCAGAAATACTTTGTCATACAAAGTTTGATGGAGTGTCAACCATATATTGGACAATATGGAAATATTTGCATCTTGAAAGCTGGACTACAAACGTGGATAGACAGGGAGAAACACAGACATGGTAATATAAGATATTGCTCACTATATGAAGTGACTGATAACAAGATCTGTATAATGGATTGTAAAGAAATTCGTCAGGTTTTTATTTTGTAGACAGTTGATCTGTATTTATAGCTTGATGGGATGACAGCACAATGATGTGTGTGGTATCATCGGAAAGCTCTGGTCCTGCACTTGCCTGTGATATGTGTGGCATTTCTGTGCGACCCTACATTCGCGAGTAATCCATCCAAGAGTAATGTGTGTGCAGAGCTGTATGAAAGCTCTGTTATACACAATTTTAGTGTAACTTTATCATTTTTTTCCTTGTGAAAACATTGGACTGCCAAGTGGTCAGCTTGCTCTTGTTAGAAAGCTGTGGTTCCACTGTTTCACGTGGTATGAGTGGCTTCTCGCTATGACGAACGGTTGTGGAGAAAATCCATAGAGAAGAACAGGTGTGAATTTGGACGTACTTTGAGTCGTTCGGGCCCATAAGGTTAAACTGTAAGCTAAAATATGTTTCTAGAAACATTTAAGGTGAAAAATATGCAACAGAGTAACCGAATCTTGGTTTATAATTGATCAGGGCTGCCTAGTTTTACCATTTGATCTGAGTTCACTCTATTGAGAGACAGAGAGGGGTAGCTCTCTTTCAATCTACTTCTATACTCGTCATGTTGTGGCGGACATATAAAGTTGAGGAGTACAATTTGTAGTTGAAGCCTCAGCCCTAGAGCCAGCAAAAATCCACTGGATGACGCAAAACAAAAGAGCAGAGAGGTCTGGGCACTGTCAAGATGAAGGGAAGTTTACCACACCCACCGTTGTTATGATACACAGCTGGATGAAAATGGGAAAAGTATTCCTCAAAGGCTGCCATTGGATTCTGTGTAGCCTCTGTCTTCCCTCCTGGTAATCTGGTTTAGGTGTACACCCTGATTTTGGTAGACTTTAAGTGTACCATGTACTATCCACTCTATAATGATGGTCTTAACAGAGCACAAAGTCGAGGTATCTTCAAAGGCTAGGAAATCTTTTTATGCCCCTCACCTGATGTGTGCTTTTCCACAACTTAATCATGGACTTGTTTTTGTAGCCCATAATGCTGTCTTTGTGTGCACTTCCAAACAGAGGGACCATGGTAACCAGCTGTTTTTATTTATGTCATCAAGTGAATTGTAGTGATTTCACACAGGTGTCGGATGTTGAGTTATTGTATGATCCTGAAGGCATTTTTTAGTTTAGAACAAGTGATGATTCAGTAAAGGGGTGTTTACTTATCAAAATTAAGTTATTGCAGTTGTTTATTTTTTTATTAATGTTAGAATGCAGTTTTCACCTTGAAATGGCTAGGTGTGGTGTATGGATTAGTTGGACAAATATATTGATTTATTGCATTTTAGTTTTAGGCAATAGATCAGCATCATGAAAACTGTTTAAAGGGATGTACTCAAGTTCTATCCACTGTTAACCCCCACATTGGCTGCATCCTGCTGTCATTGTCTTGCAGTCTGCAGTATATTGCCATCGTCTACCTTCATGCTCCCATTCAAACTGCTTTCTTGGTTTGCAATGAAAACTATGCACACATACAGGGCACTGAGTTTAAAATAGAGCAGTGAAAAGCATCATCAAGCTTGACAAGTCTGACCAAGGTCAGATTTGTCATGTGACTGCTCTCTTAAGAAAAAAATCATTTGACTGCGATCAGAGAAGAAGAGGGAGTTGAATATGAAATGGATTAAAATTGGTATTGAATAAATTCTTCCAAAGGCCTTCATTTGTGACAAATTCCAGAATAGACTGTAGTTGTTTTAGTTACTGTAAGTGAATGTACCATGCAGTCTAACTCAGATTTTAAGATCTAATAATAAACAGTTAAATGTGAGTTGGGTGAGGCTGTGTCCTGATTCTGTAGAGGGAATCATCTTGTCTTTTGTGTCACCTCAGGCACCATCTGTCATGGCCTTCCCCACAACCACACCGACAGGCATGATGGCATATGCAATGGTAAGTCAGCTGGGGCACACACACACACACACACACACACAAACTAAAACACACACACACACACACACACACACACACACAGACTCTGCTAGCTTGCAAGGAGGAGTAGATTTTCTCATGCAAAATCTTTTAGTGTGCGATTAAAAATTCTTTAAAAAAGTATTTTCAAAGTATGTTATGGTAGGCATAATATGGAAGAAGTGTAAGGACTGGAGATCTTGCAGTGTCACCATTTGCAAGACTAATAAAAATATTGAGCCAAACTCCCTTTAAGAACTCCTTAGGTGTCTGCAAGAAGACACAACTCATGGAAACACATAAAAAAGGCATCATATGTCAACCATATTCTTGTCAATTCAACATCGGTATAATCAATTCAGATAATCTGTATTTGCATACAGACTTTACATTTTGGATTTTCTCTCCCCAGCTCTCTACCAGTCTGTGTTGGTTTGCTGCACTGTTTTAGTTTGGGGGAAAACGTGGGAATGAGAGGCAAACCATTTCAAAAATTAGGATTTCTTTTTAAAATAAGGGCCAGTTAGTGGATCAGGTGCCCACTGAACTAAACACGGATTCACGCTCGCATAGAGCACAAGAGAACCAAGACTTGTTCACGTTGTTATGCCTCCCCAGAGTTCCACCCATGTTTATGGTCTGAGTTTAAAGAGTTCACGTTTTATGCCATCAATGTGAAGCTTTCCTTGATGTATGGAAAATTATATTACAGAAGATTATTATAGAATATTATTAGTTTTCAAGGGTTCTGTGTATTCTGAAAAGTAACCAACATGTACAGTATTTATTTCATCATTAAACATGAGTGTTAGTACTTTCATGTGCTATCTTAGAGGGCATTAATCCGTATCTCTCCCATCAGCCTCCCCACATGGGCTCCATGATGATGACACAGCCCACTGTGATGTATACCCAGCCTGTGATGAGGCCAGCCAACCCCTTTGGCGCCAATCCAGGTGCACAGGTAATGGCTGTCTACATCTACAATGTACTACTCCTTCCACATCTGAGCTTTGTGACCCAAACTGTCTGAAGCAGATAAATGTTTGTGTTGGGTTTATCCATAATACCTGATAGTCACTTGATCTACAAGGGTCCACTTGTTCTGCCCTGGATGACCATGTTTTATTCAATGACTGGTCTGGCTGGTAGCTTTTAGTTTTCCTCCACGCCAAGTCAAGGGTTCCCCGTAGGTTAAGAGTTTATTTTTGTCTCCCAGGGTACAAATGTCACAGTCTAATCAATCTACAGTTTACACTGTGTTTCCCTGCAAACTTCTAAATCTTTCTGTAAGTGCATTTCCATCCACCTGTTTTCATGCAAAAAACACCTGTTTGGAAACACTAGAAATTTGAAAAAGGTTGAAATATTTCAACGTTTTAGTTTAACTAAGGTGGAACAGTTTGATTAAAAACAAAATGTGACCAAGTGCATGACATCCACACATTATTACCATTGTGTGCATTGCTAAAAAATAGTAATGCATCATTTTTATTTTCTGATCAGACACCTGTAGTGTAGCTTATCCTCTGGAGTTGCTCTCTCATCACTGGCTCTCCATTTCTCTCCTGTGCTGTTTCCATCCTCTCCTCTGTGACTCAGTCACCCACAACTTCCAGTCCTTCCAGTCTGAGCCCCCTCAGAGCAGCAGGGAAGGACCCCTTTGCGCAGCTCTTTCTGCAGAATTTCTTATAGAGCATCTTTAGGTACAGCTCGTTGTCTGTGTGTAATTGCAACTCCGGGTCCAGAGTGTGTCAACAAAGTGCATGTTTATTTCCATTCTGTTTGAGCAGAACTGCCCGTTAAATGGCTGATTTCAGTGCCAGTCACAACACTTCCCTGTGAGATGCTGTCACACGTGACTCCCCAGCTGGCTGCTTTGCGCACTCTGCACACACGTCTCGTCCGCTGCAGGAGACTGAAGCTCTACTTGCTCAAGACTAGTGTCATGATGAGATGCGAGAGATCGAGAATTACATTTGTCGTTTGATGTAGGCATGAATTCCATGTCCATGGACAAACAGTATGCACTTGTCGACAGCAATATCTGATTCATTGTCTGAAACAAAAAGAAAAAGATGTCCGTTGATGTGATTTATGAGGTGATAGCACAGACCAGACAAATTTTAACCCTTGAAGAGAAAAGAACTAAAATGACCTGTCAGACTAGTCTCTTGTGAATTGGAGCTCTTATTTTTCAGTCCAAGCTTCACGCACCATCTTAATTTTGCCTCATTGGCACACTTTAGCTGATTTATTTACGTTCATAGCATTAGGTTGGAAACACATTAGAAGTCTGGCTACTGATAGGGCTGCATGATATGCAAAAAAAAATCACATTGCCATTATTTTGACCAATATTGCGGTTGCGATATGAATCACAATTTCAATGGGAATGGGCATATTTGCATTTCATTTTTACTGGAAAAAAAAATAGATGATCATTTTTTGTTTGTTTGCTGGGTTCTGTACCAAAGAAGCATGTTCCCTCATGTCTGAAATATGATTTACTTTCATCAAAAAAATTGCAGCTACTACCATTTGGATATTGCACTTGGCCATTTTGTGAGTTGGATCATATTTGCCCGCAGCTACTGGTCTTGCATTGTTGGATCTACAACTGTTTTCCATGTTCCAAAAAAATACTTGACACTGTCTTTTCTTTTTTTTCTTACCAGATGCAGTTTATGTAACCTGAAGGAGGGTGGGGGGGTCTTTCCCGTCTGAAGATGATTCATGACAAATTCAACTATACGAGCAAACCTGCAGTTTGCTTCTAATGAACTCACCTCTCTCTGAGAATGAAAGGCCCAAATAAGACTTGAATAAAATCACGGTGACTGGGAGCGGCTCTGACCATCTCAGAGAGGCATCACAGTGGACATTGTGCCCATCTTGTCATGTCTAAGTCATGAAAGGAGAAGAAGAGTGCGTGCTGCCATTCAAAACCATGTGGACAGGGATCAGCCCCTACTTTATCCTGGACTAAGAGAAACATCACCCGAGGGAAGAGCTTTTTAACATCGCTGTTTATGCACCTGGGGGGAAACAAAGTCGTTGTCACACATACACACTGTTTGAGTTGTCTTCTTTTGTTCCTCTTTCTCCAGGTGAGGCTGGGAGAGTCACTTATTTTGATTATCAATCATGATTACCTTCTTAAAGCATCCCCAAATTAGGAAAATAATTGCAACTCTTTATATACCACACATCTTTGTTTTATTTTTTGTATGTATTGTTTGCAGTAGACATTCCTTGTGTATTGTTTGTATTTATTTATGATTACCTACATAGAAGATGACAAAAAAGTAAATGTAACTAGTCACTGACCTCCTCCTTGCGGAAGGTCTTCAGGTTTATAGTTATGGTTTATAGGTATGATTGATTGTAGAATTGGATTTTGAGTGATTGAGATGATTTTTTAAAAAAAGAAGTTAATATAAAGTTTAAAGAGATGACACGTTTTGCTGTTGGGGCACTAAATATTCTCTGTACTCGCATGATGCCTTGTACAGTTATCTGTGGCTCGAGGGGTCACACGGAAGATGCGTATGAACGTAATAATTCATTCACACCGTGAAATCGGTGGGGTCGATTTCTACCAATTTGGCGAGGGAACATTTTTCACATCAGCAAAAAGCACTACATTTTGTGATTGAGGCAGCATTGCATTGGAAAGGAATCTGCATTTATGCTTTTGACGCTTTTGGCATGCCATTTATTCTTACATTTAACAAAGCTCCTGGCTGCCCTTTTTCCAACCTGAATGTGCAGGGTCCCTTTCATGCTCAGATCATGTTTCCATAGGCCAGCACAGGGTTCGTTTAGGACAATGTGGAGGCAAAGGGAGGCATCGGGTGTAGGTTGAGGTCAGACGAGTAACAGAGGGGTGTGGATGGGGCCAGAGAGGCGTAGTTGTGCAGGAGAATAGAGCACTGTTGATCGGTGCTTTGTGTATATAAAACTTTTCCTGCCAATCACAGGACTGGGTGAGTGCAGGTATGAAAGATGATCTGAACATAAAAGCGGCCCTTAATCCATTAACTGAGCATATTTGCTGCATTGTCCCTGCAGATTATATTTTTGTTTGTTTGATTTTTCCAATAAAGTGCAAGCTTCCACATTTCTCTGCCTCTTTATTTATCTATCAGAGAAAATTATGTTTTGGACACTGATTGTGTAATGAGTGTATTATTTAGGAGATCATCTAGAATTGTATAACCATGTTTACTGAGGTTAGCAACAAAAAGACTGGCTATGAGACTCCATCAGGCCTGCACACAGCTACGTCAGCTGCAAATTAAATGAAAATAATAGTCTCCCTTTAATGGCAGCATTCAGGAAGTAACCAAGTTGATTTAGGGGAAATTGAGCGGCCAGGTGATCCAAGCAGTGTCCTTGACCCTTTGGGATGCTGGTGTCCCACCTTCCATCATTATGGAGGCCTCTGCTGCTGAACCCACAGGTGCATCCATGAGCAACACACACTTAACACACACACACAGAAGGACTTTGATATAAACGCTACATCCTGCTTGGCAAAGCCTCTTAACCAGCAATAAGAAGATTCTTTGTCGTGCTGCCACTTCCCCTTAGTTTGGATGCAGCAGTAGAAAGATGCAAGTGTGTGTTTGTGTGAGACACTGACTTTCATGATGGAATTAATTGGCAAGTTAACAAAAGGCTTACTGTTGAAGTGAAGCCTTCGTTTTCACAGTCGTCTTCAGACAGTTAACCTTGCCTGACTATTTCTTCCCTTCCAAAATGAGTTGGACAGATTCCTCTGGGAAAATGAAGACGTATTTACAATACAAAAATTTGTATTTAAAAGAGCTTTGATTTCAGATATCTCAACAGGCATTTACCAGTCTGAATGTGCTGAAAGCCATTATTGATAACATGCTCGTAAACAGGATTAATAGGGAATAAAAGCAGGAATAAATTTCCATTTACAATGTGAAGAAACCGACTTTCCTGTGAACTGGGTGAAAAAACAGTGAATTGGTATGCTGTGGGGTTCTTCCTTCTTCTGCCAGGCAGCACTCAAAGGTCCTGAGGTGTGGAGATGTAGCCAGTCTGGTCCAGCCTCCTCCAGATGTTCTGTGACATCCCCCTCATCCATCCCTGTCACTGTGAACCACTGTGGAAAAGACAGGGACAACTATTCCTAATGATGGAGGTGCTGCAGGGTTTGCTTTGGTTTCACTGATTATAACGAGCACTCATTCTGATGCTGCTTCACACTGGACCAACTGCTCTGTCTTTCATTAAGAAGCAGTGAGAAGCTGGGTAAACTAATGTCTGTCTGTAAGAGTGGGTCTAGATAGATAGATAGATAGATAGATAGATAGATAGATATGACAAACAATCAGACAACCGGGGTGTATCAGTTTGAGAAATCTTTGCATGTTAGATCAGCCAGTGGAGGAGTCAAAAATTAAGCTCTTCTGCCACCTTGTGGTCAACAGGTGCAGCTGATGGAACAGCTCTGATGGTATGCTGTGTTTATGTTGTGTGCTACTGGTTGGATTTTGTGTGTCTTCTTATTGCTCTGTGTGGTTTATTGTACTTGTGCGTATTTGTTTGTAAATGGATTAATTGAATAGAGTTTGGGCCGCTTGGGGGCAGTGCAAACAAGTTCTAAATGCAACTGATATGTCACCTTAACATGGTAAACATGAGCAACAACTTATTTATGCATGCTGAACAGTACCATTCATTATGTGTCGTGTTTGTGTCCACATGATGAATGTAAGTTCAGGAAGTCAAATCTTTTAGCTCTGTTTCTGTCTTTACCAACTCTTGTGGTTGTTATCTTCCTCTTTAGCTGCTAAATGCTCCACTGTGTTCACCAGCTTGTCTCTAACTGTGTGTGTCTGCTGTTTGCTGCTGGGCTGGTGGTGTACAGAGTCTTTTTACAGTGTTCACTCTGGAAACAGTTGCCTGCTGCAGCAGGAAGCATCACCATGAGAGCTGCAGATTCAGGTGAGAACAGAGAATAGTTTGTCTTTTGTTTTTCACATAGTCTTTTCTCTGTTAGAGTTAGAATTTATTTAAACTGGCTTTTTGCTTATTCGCTTGATGGACCAAAACTCCAGTGTAGCCAGATACAAATATTTAACTGCTGTTTGTGCTTAGTGCCTCCAACACCATTAACAAAGAAACAGGAGTGAATAAATGGACAAATGTAAAACTACAGAGAGAAATGAAAAAAAAAAAGTATTTTATTTAACCTTTATTTAACCACAAAAAAAAAAAAAAAAAAAAATTAAAAATCTCTTTTTCAAGAGTTTCCTGACCAAGACAGGCAGCAACATTGGTCACAGACAGACATCATAGAACAAAAATAAAAAATAAAAAATATACAGCTCTAAAACAAGCAATATAGAACATACAATGAGATTACTACAAAGAGTTTATATGCAACTACAAATAACTACAAAGACCACCTAAAATACACCGACATTGGCATATACAGTTGACAATTGCATACAGAAGTTCTGCAACAGTGCTTTGAAACGGCCGAGAAGAACCAATGAGTGCAACTTTTACATAAATGTTCACATGCCTTTCATGTTTGCAGGATCAGTTGCAGAGTACTATGGGGCTCAACAGTTAGACACCTTCTTTTCCCATCTATTAGTTGAAGTCCCTGCCGCATGACACCAAGTTTGGATACTCTTCGCTATTTTTAATATTTGTTGATGTAATAGGCTAAACATTGTTGTATTTATCTCTATCCAGTCTGGCTTTTTGTTGTTTTTTTTTGTTTTTGCTTTGTTTTGTTTTTTTGTATATGTGTCAGGTATGTATGTAAGTTTGTATACATTTTGTGATCAAAATGATATATAAAGTAAAAACAATAATTAGGGGAGTTTGGGGTTGGTTTTCTGGTCACAGTAACAACTATTTAAAGATTTTTTTTTTTTTTTTTGCTTTTTGACCTTTTTGGACAGGGCAGTCTAAGCGTGAAGGTGGGGAGAGAGGGAGAGGAGAGACGACATGCAATAAAGGGCTGCAGGTTGGAACTGTGGAAAGACGCTGCCCCTGTGCATGGGATGCTAACTCCACCGTGTAAGCCACTGGGCACCCCAGAAAGAAAATTTAACATCAAAATGTTTACTTTCCTCACCTGCACTCATCTACTGTTCTAAAACTTCTAAATTACAAGGTGCCCTCTAACCCACCTGGGAGAGCAGGCACCCCATATACAAAGGCTTTTTCTTAGCTGCAGCCTGTGGATTCGAATCCAACCCACAGCCCTTTGCTGCATGTCATTACCCTGTCTCCCTCCCCCTCTCATGCTATATCTGTCTTATCAAATAAAAGTGAAAAGGCGCCCAAAAAATTTTTTTAAAAAACATCTGAGTTACTTTTTTCTGTATTGTAGTACCAGAATAAAAAACAGTATGTGAACAAAAGGTATCATAAAACTGTGTTAGACTTATTGGAAATTGTTACCTCTAGTTAATAGTGTGATGAGCGATGGTAGCTGGCCAGTGTCATCACAAAGTTGGGTCAAATGTAGGCAGGGTTAGTTGGCACACGTGCCAACCAACTGTAACAGTAACAGTTGTAACTGTAAATGTTTAAATTGTTTGTACTGGTTGCTTCCTGTTTATAGCGTTCTAACACTGTGCAGAACAACCCCATAATATGTGCCAACCAAGTGATGTGATGTGACCCCTCCAGTGATGGTGTTGGCTGGAACAAGTGCGTAACATCACAAATTAACTAAAGTTTAGAAAATATTTGTGTACATTAAAACACATTAATTTATTTATAGCTGAGACCTTAACTTTTGATTTGCTGCTGGTCAGAACATGCTAACATAAATTAGAGCAGAAAAATATAGCAGAAAGCAAAACGTGTGCCAACCAATCCCAGTCTCACCTAATCACTGATATTGTGGGGTTTTTAATCAAGCAAGACGTCCGTGCCGTACTTTACAGTGATAATGGGATAATGGTATAATGCTATTCACAATGCTGAGGAGCACAGAGCAGACAGTGGTTAAATCACAGCAGTGTACAACACTGTATTGAGGTATAAAGGTCAAGAATAATATATTTCCAGTGAGACAGCCTGCAGTGTTAAGCAGAGCAGGCTGGTAAAGCAACCTATACAGAGACCTTTCTTCCAGCTGCTCTGTGCTGCCTCCTGCTGCTGTGGCTCTGCAGCTCCTCCCACCTGCAGCAGCTCAGGATCCAGTCACAGGTTGGTTTTCACCCAGCGAGGAGCAACATCGAGAGGTGAGCTGACTGCTTTCTGACTTCACACTCTGAAAGTATTGTCTTTTCTTGTAAATGAGGTACCTCACTTTCCTCTGCATGTTTATGTTCTTACACTGTTAAGACTGAGAACTGTAATGTCAGTTTGGGAGGAATACTTAGTGAAAGGCAGAGGAAAGGGAAATCCAGCTGAGCAGTGATGTTGATCAGAACAGCCAAACCTCTCGGCTGTGTCACTCCAACATGCAGACTGCAAATGTAACAATATACTATAAGGTCATTATATTAGTCTTATCAAAACTCCTTATAGGAATAGGGTGTAGATTTTTTAATTAGGAAACTCCACCTGTTAACAGTTTTTGAACACCTGATTGCTAAAGACATATCTACATTTCTTTACATTATGTTAATGCCTTTTTATACCTACAGGCTGCACAGTGAAAACACAGTTACACAATCTTCTTTAAAGGACCACAGAGCTATTGGAGGTGCTATAGACTAACTGAGCTAAGTGGTTGAGGTTTGGTATTGTTTTTCAAACAAGTAACCTGATGGTCACCATTTTTAAATCACCGTTAGTCATTGCTTTTAATCCTTTATGTATTTGTTCACTACAAATGACAGTTAGAAAAGGTATTGTCACGAATCCAGCTTTGAATTTTGAAAGCTGGTGCTACAGAGACAGAGGAGACACCAGGCAGAAGTTAGTTCATTAGTTTGTTGTCATGTGCAGGTCAAAATATCCCCTTTACAGTCAATATATTTGGACAACAGAACAATGTCACTTGTTAAATCTTCAATTTTCTCAAGGAAGTCCAACACTAACAAGGAAAAGATTCATCTCTACCCCAACAAGGAAATAACGTATCTATCCTTCAGCAAGACTTTTCTG